ACTCACTGTTGAGTACCTATGATTAAAAATTAAAGTCTTCTACAAGCTTTGCAAGTGGGAAAACCTGAAAAATCAACATTGTATCAAATACTTGTTCTCCCCACTGTATTTGGTAAATCAATTGTAGTAAATAATCCTACAGATAAACAGAGTAAAACACACACAAAAAACATTTGTTGAATATTTATAATTTATTAGAATTCATAATAAAAAATTTACAGAGAATGGAGGCTGGACAAAGGAAAATGACAGATGTGATCATAACTGAACAAAGAGGCCCCTCGATCAAAGCTGGGTGTCAGTAAAGAGTTTTGTGTGTGTAGCTGAAGCACAGGCTCAACTACACCCCCACTCCCTGAAAAGGGTGTGTGTGTGTGTGTGTGTGTGTATGATTGACATAGAACATAAGGGATTTTAGGTAAGTGCCTTGGATGTTGTCCTGATTTGGCACGAAAAAAACTTCCCCCTTTGGATACAACCTCAGAAGTCTACCGTGTTTGAAGAGGGACGTTAAATCTGATTGCCAACAGCCAAATACAAAACCACATCATTTCCATGAGAACAATACTCTTAGATGTTCTTGTTTTTATGCAGGGGGAAAAAGTCTAAACCACACACACAAAGGCCTTCTTCAAGAAATAAGTGTATTTTTCACTTCATACTCATCATACAGAAAACATCAGGCTCATTTAGCAGCATCTCACTTATGAATCACCAGTCAGAGGAGGCCTAAACTAAAAAGCTTCAATATTTTCCACTGAGACAAAAAGTAATATATTAAAAAAGAACAGTTTAATGTAAAAAGCTGAGGATATTAGTGACTACAGCACATATCATATTCTTTTAAAATGAAACACCAAGCTGCAGAACTGAGGCATTATTTAGGCATTTTTTTGTTTTTGGATTAAAAGTACCACAATCTCTTTAAAAATGCACGTACCATTTAAAAAAAAAAAACAGTACCGTGTGGTGAAGTTTGCACAGATTTAGGAGAACATGGTGTTTTTGAAACAAGTCGGACATTCACGAATGAACTCATCAAATTAAAATACTGTGAACGTACAAGAATACACAAAGTTTCCTGCGAGTAACAGCTGGTTAAAATAGTGCTCTAAATATATACAGACCTCAGTTGGCATGTCGTCGATACAGGTTACAAACATTTGTAGTTGTTTATTTAAATTTTACATAAATGTAACTAAACTGATAAGTTGGCTATAAATGTTGTACCATAAAGTAATAAATGTGCATAAAAAACAAACAAAAACTTAGTTGTACCAAAAAAAAAGACTAAATACATGGCAGTTAAAAATACAATCATAAAATTATGTTGTCCTTTTTACTTACAAGTATTTGACCTTTTTTTTAAAACTGAGAACAAATAAGTCTTCAAACATTGACAAAAACACGTACCTCACAGGCATTAGCCTCACATCTAACTCATTTAGTAGCTTTAATAAAAACGCTCACAACTTCTATAAAATCCTATTTACTTCTGTCTAACAGACATACTCCGCAACATTTCACAATTACACAATAAAAATAAAGTTTTTCAAATAAATACATTATGAGTTTTACAAATAAAAAAAAAACGTGTTAGACTGTAAATCTAGAAATGCTTTCCAAATGTGTCTTCTACATTTCATGTCAYGTTAAGCTCATAAATAAAAGTAATTTAAAAAGGGTTTTTAGCTTCCTTTTTTTTCCATGTCATGAACTATTAAAAATCCTTTTGTTTAACCAACAATCGGCTTCTGTTTTTTTTTTTTTTTCTTTTGCGTCAACTTTTTCACAGGAACATGTAGCGAGAATACACATCGGAGGTGTCACAGACCTGACAAAGAACAGCCCAGAAATACACCATCTGACACCTCAACAAGACGTGACACCCAGTCAACTGGAAGCTAGGGAGTCTAGCTTGGGGCACAGATAGCAATACCTTCACATAACACGGTAAGTGCATAAATTTTACATGAACAWATGGCACTAATAACTTGATATCTTACCTTTTAAACAGAGTGTCTTCTGCCGACATTTACATTGCTGCTTATGTGTCGTGATTGGATATGTTTTACTTCATTTATTTTTCACAATCGAGTGTTTTTAAGGCTCAGCAGTACCGATTATCCAGCTTCATAAATTAAAGATATGATAAACCGTACCCAAGCTGTGATGTAGACGAAGCAGTTTTTTTCCTCAAGTTAAGCACTGATGCATGTTTGACAGCTGTTTTTCATTAGCGAGGGAGACGGGGGTTGGATTCAAAGACGAGACACGTCCCGACCAAGACCCAGCTCTGCCAAACTTTCGTAGTCGTGCTCCGGCCCGGCGACGTCCGCCCCCTCCGCCTCCCCCCTGTGATCCTCATCTGAGCCGGTAGTCTTTGGGATGCGGATAGATTCGTAGCCAGGATCTGTGCCGTCCATAAAGGCGTCCTCGCCCGGCTGGGGYTCTTGGATGTCTCGCACGGTGGCGTAGAGGTCGCTGGAAGACGAGGYCGGGACCAGACCTTTGATCTCTGCGATGCTGCTGTAGTCGTGCTCTTTGTCTTCGTCGTCCGCGGCATCGTTGTCGCCGTTTGTCTTGTTAACCACGGAGTACACTGCTGACTGAAAGAGACACCGACAAACAAATCGTTGTCTTTAACATTTAGAAGGAAAAACTCCTGACTGACTAGAACTAGAAAAAGCAGTTTGGGGTTGGGGAATAAGGGTCGGACATCAAGTCTCGAGTATCGACTGGAACAGGRACCAACATTATGATTCACCTGGAAAAGTTCCAATTGTTAAATTTCAGTTCCTCATTTTGATACCCAATCTGCCAATTGGAAGAATGAAAGCTGCTGAACACCAACGAAGAAGAATCCTCAGGTGGTGTGTGCGGCAGCRATCTAAAGCGTGGCTTAAATTTAAGAAAACAACAGTATGTTGGGCGCACGACCAACATCCAAGTTTGTGAAGTCTTTGACACACTGTGAGTTTTCGCTGACACTTCTGGGTAATTAAAACAATAAAATRCGTCTAATACTTAACAAAAAGAATGGAATCAGGCATCATTAGGAACCAGAATTTAAATGAGGAACCAGAATCCTTCAAAYGCAAATGGATGTCCAACCCTACGAGTTACACACAAGTTTGTATTTCTTACCTTATTGGTACCGTTCATTGACTTCCATTCATTTCCAGTCGTTTCTACAGTTTAACCCAGATCCCTTTCCCTAAACTCAATTCACAYCTTAGACCTAAGCCTAACCCCCAACCCAAAAAATGGAGTTCCACCATATTAGGACCGGTCTTTGGTCCCCATAAGGACTACTGGTCTTTACAAGGTCGGTGTGTATACTAGAAACCGTCCTAAATCACAAATACAAGTACAAACACACTTACTTCACTGTCCGACAAAGAGTGGTTGTTGAAGTCCGGTGCAGCAGACAGAGGAGAGTGTAACTGTGAACGGAAGAAGACAAAAATTTAAAAAGAAGAGTCAGAACTTTAAAACACCTGTTATAAAACAGGCTACATTTGCAACAAATTTAAATTTTAAGGATTTTAATGACTTCCTGCTATTAAAAACATTAACTTTAAACTTTTTCATATCCTTTGAAATTTTGCATTTCTATTAAGSTCAGTTTACTTTGACACTACAAACTAAAATCCAGATAAAGCACGTGGTTTGTGGTTGTWACGTCACAAAAAGAGGAAAAGTTCAAGAAGCATAAAAACTTTTTCACTATAAACCGACAAACTGTAGCAGCTCTTTTAATCCACCTCAGACGGCTTTAATACAGAACAAAGATGTCCCAAAAGACTTTGAAGGAATGCAATTAACGTAGGGTTGAAGTTCTTATTGAACCGTATTAATAAAACCCACGACCAAACCATCGACTAGTTCCTCATAAAAACACACTCMGGTGAAAAATCTCTGAATGCGAAGGAAGGGAGCGCTCGTTGATCGGGTCGATAGTGAAATTCTGAGCTTCTCCCAGTGGTGGGAGAGAAACACGTCCTGCATTCGCTGCGATACATTAGAAACTAATGTTCTATATAACCACCCATTCATTTAAAATCTTATTGAGCCAAAGTCGATGGGGAGTGATGGAGAGTGGGATGCTGTTCTTGCCCAGACTCTGTCCACTTCGCCTTATGATCGATGAGGGAGCCATTAATCAACAAAACGCATCTGACAGCAGCACAAAACACTTCAGGAGTCTAACAAGAATCTCAATATCCACACTCGCTAAGTACTTTATGTCATTTAGAGATAGAAAAGGTTATTTTCTCTTTGACTCGTTGCAGACACAAACATTTGGATTTAGTCTGGTCCGTTTCGGTCCTCGTTAAGGACACGTCGCTGTCTGAGCTGCTGTCAGGATGAACACCTGCGAACAAATATCATCCATCAAAACGTCTGCCGCAGCTGTACGTCCTAACGTCTCCACATGTGGTACTTTTCTTCAAGCATGGAAATCAATACTTTATGGATAAGGTGCGTTTGGAGGCATGATTACTTTTATAGATCCGACATACAGTCTCAACAGTGTAGCTTTGTCATTTCGCTTTAATTAGCTGACCAATTAGGCTGAAAAGTGGAATATTTSTTCAAAAAAATGGATGCAGAACTCACAGTGTTTGTCATCTATATCCTATAAAGCTAAATAAAGATTCCTGCCAGAGTTTTAATCTAAATTATCTTACACTAAGAAGGGATGAAAATAGTTGTTTTGGTCAAAATAACTGAAGTTATGCTCAATATTTAGTAGATTTTGAGCATTTCAGTATGTGTTGAGGATGAGCCTTGCCTACTGCCACACCCAGTTGTTACAACGTGTTRCAACAGTCCACTTTTCACATTTGTAACTATTTTAACTACAATGGTCTACTGGCTGAAATATAGCCATTGTTGYAWATTTTTCAGAGCTGTGGRAGCCATCTTGATTGAGGTTGACAACAAAAGTAAAACGAGTCATTTTGGGATTCACAAACAAATAAATCCAATATTTCCATTCCATCAACCTGGGCACTGAATCTCTTACAGCGGGTAAAATAAGTATTGAACACATCAACATTTTTCTCAGTAAATATATTACTAGAGGTGCTAATGACATGAAATTTTCACCAGATGTCGGTAACAACCCAAGTGATCCAAATCATACAAAGAAATCAAACCATAAATGTCCAGAAATGAAGTTATTTGTAATAATGTGGAATGG